AAACGTCTGCATTACAACAGCGAACGAAGGAACACGGACACAAGATAAGTAAACAAGTATAACGTTAATTTAATTCAAATGAGCGAAAGGGAAAAAAAACCTATAGAAATCCAACCACTTTCGGTGTCCTAGTGCCCTTGGTAGAACACAAGAGAAGTAAATATTAGGAGAAGCACGACACCTATCAGAGTGCTTCTCAACACTTCTCGAGTGTTCTGCTAATCCCCCAAGTGCCTCATACATGTAACTACCCACAGAACAACACAGCAATTAAGTTTTTTATTTCCTATTATTTCGCTCGAGCTACCATTTTTTGGATACGAATAACAGTATAAAGTGTGCACGCATACTGTGTGCTCTCGTAATGCACACGTTCCCAACCAATCAGAATTCASGATTAATAACAGTCATTTTCGTATTCTTAACAGATGCATCATCTACTGATTTGCATGAAGAAAAGTATTACTTATTAGTATGCTGCACGATAGAACCATGTTCTTTATATGTGTAAGTAAAAAAGTTTCCAACAGTAAAAGTATGTCTTTAGACACTCAGAACAAAGGCATATCCAGGTACTTGTTTTTGGGGTATCAAGGTTAGTGTATTCAACCACACATGGGAAGCACACTGGAATGGGACAGTGATGGTTATACCACCAATACATAAATGCCAACACCATAATATGTCCTTCAATTCCATCARTTGTTGAGGAAATCCAAAATGTAGCTGCGATTTTAGTGGATTAGAAGGGCTGGAATAACATCATTTTGGCTGCCTGCGGAGAGCAACTGCAGTAGATTTCCAGGACCAACAAAAGAGTGGTACTGCACTTGCTTCTTAGCTCTGGGATCTTTGGTTTGATTCCTGGGATCCCACAACAGTCTATAGGCTTCAAAAAATTAACCCCTTTGCTTTGCTTTTGTTTTGTTTTTGTATCCAGCGATGTTTTAAGTCAGGGTTTTAAGCGATTGGTTACTCTGCCAGATTCAGACAAGTTTGATTGTGTGCTGTGTACCTGTATAGCAGATGTTGATTGGGATGGCAATAATGAAATCCTACTTGGCACATATGGACAGGTACTAGTTGTCAGTTAATCTCTCTACTACAACTGCTACTGCCTCCCTCCCTCCTTAAATCATCCATCCCTCCCTCTCTCCTCCCACCATCCACCCCCATCCAACCATCCATCCATTCAGCCATCCATTCCTTCATCCATCCATCCATTCCTTTATCCATCCATCCATCCATCCATCCATCCCATCCATTATTTATACCCCCTCCCTCAATTCCATTCATGTCTCTGCATCCCTTTTCCATCCCATCCCTTCCATCCATTCATCCTTCCATCCATTCATCCTTCCATCCATTCATTCGTCCATCCATTGATACCTTGTATATAGCTCCCTCCTCATTGCCCTCTCTCTATCTATCCCTCTTTCTCCCCCTGACTCCCCATCCCTTCCCATTCATTCACCTCTCCATCTATTAATCCTTCCCTCTTGCCCTCCATCCCATCCATCCATCTATTCATTCCYACCTATCTACCTTCCATTTAACATTGGATACATTATTTTTTCTTTAGTTCATTGATTGATTTTGKTGGGTTGGGGTYATCACAGGAATCACTCAAATCCATCCCTCTTTTTCTTTTTGTGATTTATCACAGGAGTTATTGGTCTACAAATTAACCAGTCGTTCTGAGAATGATTCCTCACTTGACATGACCACTACATGGCAGAGGAGTTTCTCCAGTCCCTTGTTTGCTATTGACTATCTTGATATGACTGGTGATGGTGTACGTGAAATAGTTGTAGCCTGTCTATCTGGATTACATATATTACAGGTAACTGGCCCAAAATGAAAATTTAAAAAATTGCAATGAAATGCTTAATTTTTAGTCACCTATGATGTTAATGGAGTGTTTGTGTGATGGCAGTATGGTGTGGGTGTTGGTGGAGTGTTGACAGGTCGATGGACTCTTTGTAGAATAGTGGTATTGGAGGGTCTTGTGGAGGGTGTTGGTTAAGTCTAGGTTCAAACTACTGCATAGTATTAATAATTTTCTTTTCTTTTTTTAACAGCATCAGCTTGATGATGTAGCTAAAGTCTGTACAACAAGAATATGAATGAATAGGGAATGCTTCACAATAATTATGCAATAATAAAATATCTGTAACTAAGGAATATGAAATGTGCACATGTCTCTCTAAGTCTGTCATATAAACATGATGGGAGCTGTAGAGCATGACAGAAGCAAGCTTAGGAACATGAGGCTTTGCTTTCTAATATTATTATTGAGCGATTTTGTACAAGCGTGTCTCTGCCCTCTGATATAAATACAGTAGCCAGCCATAAGTGCAAGTGTTTTATCTCGAATATTTTATAAAATGCTGTTCTCTAGTCAAGAGAACACTTGTGATGGCTTGATCTTTTTCATATTTTCATGTGGAAAGGCCCCGGTAGTGTCAAGATTAGCCAATTTGTAAATAATGTAATTATTTGATGCCTCATGCTTTTAAACCTGAAAAAATACAATTTGCAAATTTATTGCAAAATAAATTTTTGCTGTAACTGAAACATTTTAATAAAATTGAAAGAAAAATTAAGTAATAAATAATGTGTTTTCGTAATAGTTCTTTAAAATAATGAATAAATTAAATAAACATAATGCCAGATGTCGGAGCCACACCCAAACCCCCCAAACAAATGCCCAGCCGACTAAAGCATTCCTCCGATATTAAGGTGAATGCTGCGGCTGGGGACAAGATGTAATAGACCTTTTTTTATTTTTGGTGTAATGTTTTCTCATTTCATGTCATTCCCTAGAGTATCATATCTTTGTTTTCTGCTGTTTTTGATATTACGCAAACTTTAGCATTGCCTGTCAAAATTTAAAATTTGAGATTTCTATACCACCAGTCAAAAATGTAAATGGTGGAAAAACTGTTCACTCGTAGATTCAAATTTATGTTAGGCCATCTAAAATAGTAAATAATTTATTTAATTTAGTTGACGTCAACTATTCAACAGTTTGACTAAATTCACTCTAAACCAGCATGGAAGCTTATGGTGTGCACAGCGAGAATATAGCTTTGCATAGCCATCATGTCAAATAATGCATCTAACAGTGATGTATAGTGGAGGTTTCACAAATAGGAAAATTTTCTTTTTTTATTACGTGCATGTTGTTCTTTAGCGAATACTAAAGGTGTGTAAAGATCTTATTTATCTTAGTCAGTCTTAAAACGATGCTTTACGGTAAGAGCAACACAACACAGGTATATGTACGAACGCTATAACACAAAGRACATATACCTAAGAGAAGAAACCGTCTCGATGTTCACCTATGACTTATGCACCTGAACATTTTCCCAGTTGAGTTGGTATCGAAAGGAAGTCCACGGGATGTGCTGTAAAAACTCAATTTTATAGGCACATATCAAGGATTTTCCTAACAAAATGTACTTAAACCAAAGATAAAAATCTAGTGAGTCCACTGTCATGTATTACGATAAGGTTTGAAGTSTAGATGTCATTGGAAGTTGTGATGAGTGAGGAAAAACCAAAAGACAACATGGCCAACAGCAAATTGGAAAAGACAGGCTTCAAAACTATAGAGACAGTAGGACGAATGGTTTTATTTATAATAGTTCGATTCTGGAGATTCTGTAGCGCTGCTATGTTAACATTGCTGCTTCTGTACTGGCTGTATGGCGGTGTGGTGATTTTTCTACTTCTAACAGCAGCAGTTTTCGGAGCTCTTTATCACTACCAAGATTCATTCTTATATTTCCCAGAACAGCCTCTTTCTTCTAGAYTATTTGTCCAAAATCCTCGTGTATTAGGATTACCCTTTGAAAAYCTTTATCTAAGGACTCAAGACGGCGTTCGGATTAACGTTGTATTTATAAAACAACCGCCAAGGTTCCAGTCTACTGCACCGACTATAATATTCTTCCATGGTAATGCTGGTAATGTTGGACATAGGCTKTTAAATGCCAAAGCCTTGCATAATCATTGTGGATGTAATGTTCTGTTAGTGGAGTACAGAGGGTATGGGAAGAGTGAAGGGTCGCCTAGTGAATACGGTAGGTGCACATGGCTGAGGGGAGTAGGGAACCATGGGATGCCAAGGGGGCTAGAGATATGTTTACCCTGGGGTCACTTTTTGAGTTCAAGAACTAGTGAGAATTCATCTTTCCAGTATACAAATCACTGTCATCTGAAAGAATACTTAAAAAACAGATATCTTTTGAAAGTTCTACTACTTTTGACTAAATATCAACAGAGTTATCAACAACTTAATTTTGCAGAAGGCATTCAAAGCCTCATTATATTGGTGTATTTTGACAAMTTCAAATCCCCATATCTTGTCAAAGATTTTTGACTGGATTTCAAAACTCGCACTTGTTATCTACTTTATAAAGACCTATCATTTGAAATAGTTAAATCTAGAAAAACCATTTTTACTGATTATTGTAATGCATAATGAGTTTTCATCGCTGTGAAAAATGTGTGTACTGTATGTCCACCAATGGCCAAAATTGAACATTCTGGAGGGGAGGGGGGTCAGAGRAAGAACAAAATTACAGAGTTTGTATGGAAGAAAATTGGAAGCTCCTGGGGGTAAGGGGGTCGTTTTACAAATTCCTCTGTGGTGGGGGTATGGATATATTCTGTAACTACACAATAAAGATCGGCTCTTTGGCCATCTCTAAGTATAAGAGCAGCCATTTTTGAATCCAAATGCTGCACATTTTATTAATATATATTTGATTGTGATTTTCCCTCTATTGTGATAGGTTTTATGTTAGATGCGCAAGCTGCAATGGACCACCTTTTAAATCGGCCGGACATTGATAAGAACCAGATTATCATATTTGGTAGATCACTTGGAGGTGCTGTGGCCATAGACTTGGCTTCTCAACCTGCGTACATGAATAGAGCCTTTGCACTGATTGTTGAGAACACTTTTACAAGTATACCAGCTATGGCTAGTGAACTTCTCAGTGGACTACACAGATTACCTTATTTTTGCTTTAGAAACAAGGTCAGTTCCAAGTAATGATGGGAGGTTGTTATATAGTGCATTTCACATTGTCACAATATATGCACTTAGAATTTTTCTATGACCAGTGGAGAACTTTATGKGCTGTATATTAAGGTGCTATTAACAACTGTGCAGCTTTAATACTATCATGAGTGAATTGTTAGTATTATGCCTCAAAATTGGCATAGACATGTTGTCGTAGGGATGTGTAGCCTTTGAAGAGTACTGCAAGAAAGTTTTTTTATTTTTTATATAAATTTTAAGTTGAAATACAAATAAGAATAGCCATTAATTTAGATTGAATGATAAAATAAAGAAAAAGTTTGCATGACTTGTGCTGCTTGCTCTCCTGCTCCATCTATCTCTTTTCAGTTTAAGCCAGCCAATCAAAGGGCATGTTATATCGTGGTTAAGTCATAATAGTTATTTTATAATGATTGATTTGAAAAAATTGAACTGATTTGTCCTGTGTGGTTTCCATGTTGTCTTGCAGTTCAATTCATTTTCAAAAGTTCACACCTTGACAGTCCCAACCTTGTTTCTTTCTGGGATGGCAGATCAACTGATACCACCTAGAATGATGAAAATGCTCTACCAGGTAAGTCATTATYCCTTTATTTTAGGAGCAAGCTTGGCTCAGTTAATATTATTGTGCAGT